TGTTAAGGGATTTTAATTTTTGGTTTGTTATAAACCGATGCTGTATATGTGAAATGAATAGAGTGTTGCATATAGTCGATATGCCCTTTGCACTTCAACTTATTTGGTCTTTTACATACTTCATATAGACGTTAAATAAAATAGAACTGTAATGGAATGCACATACATGGTACTATAAATATGTAATATTGTGGTAAGATGAGATACTGTTCTGTTTGGAGGCATTCATATCGCTGAGTTGTTTTTGTTAACACTTTCCCTTACTCACTAAGTAGTCCCTTGGGACCTGCTTGATTGTAGTCTATGCTGACTACATCTTGCATCAGAAACTGTGCCATCATCACAAAATTGGACAACAGGGTGCTGAATAACTGGACCTATTGGTGCTGTTTGCAAGTTGAAATGTCTTTAATAAGCTTTTTGATCAGGACAGTGCAGCAGTTGTTTCCAAAGCAAAGTTCTAGTGTTTTTGCCCTGTGCTGAACCTTGTACTTTTTCATGATAAATTTTCAAGGACTGTTCTGCATCTGGGGAGGCGGGGATGTTAAAAAGTAACAAATACAGTCTTTTCAAACCCATGGGGATTTTTGGGCCACCTATAACCACTTAAAGTAAAAGGATGTATCATGGACAAGCTGAAGGTATGTTCATAATGTGCGTGTTGATTCAGGGGAAAATGAACAAAATGTATCTCATCTCATTTATCATTAAAAAATGCATGTGGACTGAATGAGAAAAAATGTTTATATGCTACAGAAAGGGATGTAGACTTTGCATCATGCTGTGGACACATTTTACAAATGTGTTTCAGGATAAATTCAGCTATGCCTCTTTCCATTGAAATCTAGTACATCAACGCCAGATTATCTGCCAGTTGAGAGTACCAACATTATTTTAGCATAACATAAAATATGTAGTATAAAAGCATAAGGCACAAATTTAACATGAGCACACATCCTTTGTATTATCAAGAGTCCTGTTATTTCTGGCTCATTTTTATAACTTCATACTGATCTGTGAATGTGAAGTATTTTTGGTACAGATTTTGAAATACATCAGCATACTGACGAGTGCTATTTTTGTTGATAGAGGGGACCTTATTTTTATTCAGTAAATATATGGATGTCCCCAGTTTTAATTTTCATCAGCACTGGTCCTATGTTTCCATTCTTTTTCTTGTTCTTGCTATCCATTTCATCATCATCGTCACTTACCTCATTGTATTCATTAGAATTGCTGTCTGTTGCTCATTCCTTTTCAGTATCAGCACGTTATTTTAGAAACCATAACTTGGTCTAAAGAATAATGTCAATCTACTGATCCATTTGGTATAAAACAGCCCCCTGCATATTTTGTGTACTACAAAAGGAAGTAAAAACAAATATCTTGTTTGTCTTGGTGTTTCATCATTGAGTTCATGTAGTGTAGTTTGAAATATAAAGCCAACCGTAATATGTCATGAAAGAATATGAGTACAAATCATAAAGATCTTAGGAGATACTGGGTGCACTGTAATCTACAAGTGTTTGTGAAACAAGCAAATGATCCACGCTGTTGAATAAATGGTGGTTGGCTGTCCAGTGACTAGTGTGTTAGACCCAAAGGATACCTAAAGTTTGCATGCATTTAGGAAACTCATGTCTAACTGAAAATTGTGTATGATGGTTCCCTTAGGAAGCTCATTGACTGGAAGAGTTAATATAAAGAGCTGATATGACCATAAAATAATTTGATGGATATTTAATTTGTGGCAAGAGGAAGGAATTTTTCTTTTCATTACCAAATCCAGACTGTCACACAGTCTCTTGTCCTGTGCTTCTTCCCTGATCAAGCAGCTGGAGTGGAGTGGATTACTACTCGCCTCTTAAGCCAAAAATTCATTAAGCTTTACTTCCATGCACCTGTTAAACCTTACGGTACATGTGCACCCAACTGTTTTTAGGAAGGTTTTGGTTTATGTCTGTTAACTGTTTACAGCAACATTGAAAGTAGACTGATTCTACTAGTTTTTAAAATTAACATTTTGTAGCCAAAGCTCATCTAAATAATATGTAACGATACAGTTTTTATCCAAAATAAAATGCAACTTTTTCCATTACGAAGGTCAATTGGTTGGTGCTTTTTAGGAGAATAATCGCTGTTCACTAAGTATCATACAAAATCCATAAATATGCTTTGAGTGCAAAATACAGAAGTATAGATTTGACAGCAAGCTGTATATAGTTATCACTAAGCTTTGTAGAATTAATTCAGAATGTTCTGATGCAATATTTTAAATTGTTCTAATACTCTCTCCTCAACCTGTCATATGGGAACAAGATTTAATCCCAGACACTACAGGGCTGCCTGCCTGGTTTGAACTCTGGTTGTTTTGTGAAGCCTCAGCCAGCTGGGCTATGTATAAGCTTTGACACAAGGATTAAGGTTGATGGAAAACATTAGTTGCTCTGAAGTGGTATAGTGCAATTTTTCTTTTGTTACCTAGGACCTGAATCTTTTCAATGGGGTACCGGGGACAATATGTAGAACAACAGATGGTAGAGTAGGAAGGTTTCCAAGTCTGAGGGCACACTTAATGTGATTCTTTAAAATACAATGTTGGTGGGTAGTCTGTACCCTTCATCGCCTGATCCAAAATTTCCATTTCAGTACATTGTGTGACAAGCCAGCAAATACCAACTTCTCTTTGATGTGTTCCCATTTCACTGCCATTTGATGTAGGTTCATGTTATACTGCAAGAATCTTGGTAGCATGTTTCTTTATGATTACATTTGAGGTATAACAATGTTAGATCATAACAGCAATTTGAGTTGTAAGCATTCCTCAGCATTATTTGTATTTATATTGCACATTGCATCACGTGATCATACTCCTGGAATTGTGTAATAAAGAGAGAAGGTTTATAAGCATTAAATTGAATTTAATCATCATTGATTTCATCTACATCACATCTACCTTAATAAGTGACGGTGAATAATCTATCCTAATTTTTTTATAATTTTGTTGATTAATACATGCTAGTATGTTAACACCGCTTTGAGGAAACCAATAAAACATAAATAATTGAAAGTACACAGTGTATATTAGTAGTCATCTCATGTCAAACTTCAGTTTAGATCCACCGTTTTTATGCCACTGCATTCTAAATCATCCCTAGGGGGATGTTTAAGTTGTGTTATGTAACCTTTGTTGTAGAATATTGTTGGTTAACCATGAAGTTGTGGGAGGCCTGTCCATCTGATTATAGTAACTTTTGTCTAAAAATTCCATATCTGAAAATTTAAAAGTACCAGATGTGGGCAGTTTCATTAAATTGACCAAAAATAAATGTTATTTCCATGCTATTGCTTTTCAGACAGCAACAGTTTCATAAAACATCGTTAATTTGTAAAAATATGACCTTCACTTTACAAAGATTAAAACATGAATAAGGAAATTTTTGTATTACTTTGTACTTTTGCCAATTGACTGGGAAGATAAATCTGCTTGTATATGAAGTCTTAGTTAACTACTTGAATTGTTATAGAGGAAAATGTGAGATACCTAAATGTTAACAAATAACATTTATATTAAGTGGCCAGCTTTCCTTCTTATAAATGCATGTAGGCTTATGTGTCTGTATCCATCCTTGTAAATGTGCCAATGGATCAATTCTTAAACGACGATTTTATATTAACTTGCTTTGCTCACATCCTCATTCCTGAATTATCTCAGAGGTTTCCAGGTCCCCAGTCTGGTGATGTAGCTACCTGTGACTTTGCTTGGAGACTCCCTACTATGTAGGATTTGAGGTTTTCACAGTGGTGAGTCTGAAGATTGCTGTCTTCTGGGTTACTGGAAATCTACCAGACATGGCGCAATGACCCAGAAGACAGCAATCCTCAGACTCCCTGCTGTCTCATTCCTCAACTCTGGCCCATCCCCCTTAGAATGCCCATCTAATGGCTCATATCCTCATTCCTAAATTATCTCAAAGGTTTCCAGGTCCCCAGTCTGGTGATGTAGCTACCTGTGACCTTGCTTGGAGACTCCCTACTGTGTAGGATTTGAGGTTTTCACAGTGGTGAGTCTGAAGATTGCTGTCTTCTGGGTTAGTGGAAATCTACCAGACATGGCGCAATAACCCAGAAGACAGCAATCCTCAGACTCCCTGATGTCTCATTCCTCAACTCTGATTGGCCCATCCCCCTTAGAATGCCCATCTAACATTTTATACAGCTCTTCACATTCCAGCATTGGCAATTCAGCACCTAAGATGGAGGAGTATATGTTTCTCCAAAATTTGGAATGTACTTACAAGTCTGCACTGCATCACAACACGAAACAACACTGCCATGCTGCTGTGAGAACCTCAAAGAAAGAACTCAACAAAATCTTCCATCACTGAACAAAACTTAGTTAAAAGTCTAGGTTATCTGAAGTATCTACAGTCCTGAGAAGTGCTTCCATTGAATGGAGTGTTATTAACTGCATGTGGTATTAAACATAAGGTAGACTATTTGAGATTAATTAGCAAAAGGGGCACAGATGTCTGTCTTAATATAAGGCCAAGAGAATATTATGTTGGTGCATAACTAATTTTTGATAAATGAATTTAAATGTAGCTAATATGGAAACGAAGCAGATATGGAAGCAAACAAAAATACTGTGATGTTTTTGTCACATTTCATTCTGTTCCTAATGAAATCATACTATGACAGCAGCATGCAATACATGATCAAAGTTTTTATAAACATGAATTTGCACTCTACACATAGATCTGAATTAGTCATTACTGAATTCAGCTTAATTTAAATTTAATTACAGGACCTATTGGACATAGAAGAAGATGCATTATTCTACCATTATTTGTGAGAGCTCGCCAAGTCATTCTGCCTTCGATTTAGATTGCTAAAACCTGCCTACTTCATATGCAATGCATAACCCTCATTTTAGCCATTTTGTTTTCTATAAAATATAAATAACTGTAAAAAATGTACATTATAAGTACATCAACCATGAAGTTTTCAGTTATGACAAATGCCAGATTAGTTTGTTAAGAAAATGACGCCAATAATCACCAGTGCCAGTCAGGTCTGCGTGAGATGACACGTTAGGGGTTTACAGACACTAGTACTACCTTTTCGCCATCTATGAATAATTTTCTACAACTTCACCGAAGGACCTAGTATTAAAATATGCTGGTTATCGCAGGTATCAGTGGCCCATATGGCGTTGAAAATATAAGTAAGTGTTCATCAATGTCAGATTCTTTATTCCGGCGATAGGACTGTAAGGGATAAAGACATGGTAAATGTTTATAAACTTTTCATGGTTTGAAAACTTTTATGCATTGGAAGCTTAATATTTTCTTGTTATTAAAATTTGGTCTGTATTATTTTCAGGCTTCATACTCTGAAGACCAGCTGGCCGGTACGTAAAGTTGATTTGAAAGGAGGTCAGTTAATACTGTGTGAGTCAGTTTTGACACGCCCATGACCATTCTTTACCTTATTTGGTGGTAGATTGAAAGTTAAAGAACATTTTTTTTTGGTAACGTATACTAAGACAAAGATAGATGTATTTAGATTTAAGTAGAATTGAAGCCGTCTGCAGCTTTGTGACAGTTGTATCTTCGTAACGTAAGGCATCACATTGACGTAGACATGTATGGTTATGAAGTGGCAAATAAAATTATGACGTCAGTCGAAGGTATTTTTTTTTAGCGAGAGGTTGTTTTAATGCTGTTGGTGTGATGGTATGTTCGGAAACGGATTCGACTTCTGTTCAAAATTTTGCCATTTCAGAATTTCAGGAAGCATTCCAGCTTTTTGATTCCCGTGGTGATGGGAAGATACATGTAACACAGATTGGAGATGCACTCAGAGCTCTTGGACAGAATCCTACAGAGTCAGATGTAAAAAAATTCACTCACCAACATAAGCCAGGTAAGAGTGATTCATGAATGTGTCTCCATAATGAACTTTTTTAGGGATTTTTATCTAACTCTTGCCATTTGCTATTACAGATGAACGAATTAGCTTTGAGGTATTCTTGCCAATCTATCAGGCCATTTCTAAGAGTCGAAGTTCAGACACTGCTGATGACTTCATTGAAGGTCTTCGCCACTTTGATAAAGATGGTAATGGTTTCATTTCCTCAGCTGAGCTGCGCCACTTGTTGAGTACTCTGGGTGAGTTGTCTGAGATTTTACCTTGTGTTGTGTTCCCATTTCTAAGTGTCAGCATTTAGACATTGCTGAAGATTTCATTGAGGGTTTCTTGACAAGAATGGTAATGGTTTTATTTCCTCAACAAAGCTATGCCACCTCCTGTGAGGAAAGTGATATTTTACATCACATTCACAAAATGATTCTAAGTTGCCATTTGATGAAGATTTGACATTCTTGTGGCAGTGAAGATATTGATTTTATTCTTTTGGGTTATGACACCATGTGCAGTTGACATTGCTACTCTGTTTTTCTGTGAGAAGCTACTGAAATATTCCTTGGATTAGTGTTTGTCCTTAATCATTGTTTTTTTTTAATGTTTCATATTAGAATATAGTAAGGAAAAGTACATTGTAACTATTGAAGCTCAAAAACATCATTGATCAGGTATTGAAGAAAATTATAAAATTGGTACAAAGTGTTAAGTTACAGTATGTGCAGTCATTTCCTCTATTGTGCTTTACCACGTATTTTTCTCTGCTTTGTATTTTATGATAGTATACCACATATCACCTTTATGTCCGACTTTTGGTCAGTGTAATGTGTATGTTCCCTGCTGGGAAACTGTTAGTTTTACCACATCACACTGCATACAATAACTTGATTATAGAATGAATGAAAAAATTGATTTCAATGTTTATAAACTAATGAAAGTTGTGAAATGAAACATTTTTAAATGATTAATCCAGTTGCTTACATATATTTTTCTTTTCTTTTTTCCAGTTTTGTTTATAGCTATTGAGCTTGTTCATTTATTTCTGATACAAAATCTGTTGTTGCAAAGCTATTCACATCACAAATATCACAGTACAAAGACTGGAAACATTACTTCCTGTGTTTTGTTATTCATTGAGAGTTAAAAGAGTTGTCTGCAAAGCTTAATGCTATCTTAATATCATATACAGTTCTAATTTGTATATGATGAGCTGTTTTTGAAACATTTGATAAAGTTGTGTTTGTACTTTATGTGAAGTAGGGTTCATGATTCACCATTGTAATCCAAAATTAATTGGGCCTAACAGTGTGTCTTCATGTGTATGTATATTCTTCCTGATTACTGACCAGCAACAGCAAATATTCAGCTCATCACTTCCATTTAATCCCAGTATGAGTACAGGAAGTTGGTAAGAGCAATAAAAGCAACATACATCAGATATAATAGCTGCTGAAGGTGATGTTCTTGTATTTGCATACACTGTCTGTACATGAAGGAAAGGTAATGCTGTATATCTGTGGATCCTTGTTCATATATTATACTTGTACATTTCTTATTGTATTAGCAGTTGTTTCTGCCCCTAAAAGTTCAGCACACATTTTAAGATGAAAGAAACAAAGGTGTTTATTTGTATCTGCAATAAATGAACATCAAGCCTACAGAGATGTGAAAATTTACAAACAAGACATTTAGAAAATATGTTTATTTTATTACATATAATTTTGGTACTAATGTAGCATGTGTGTTTGGATATCAAATCTGTACTGAATGTTGCTTGATGTAAGGTTCTTTCATCATGTATTTAATTTTTTGGTTCCAGTACAATTATCTCTCTAAATTCTTTTGCAGTTTAAGTTTGTTGTTGCTGAGGCATTGAGGGGATTTCACTCTTTGTTGTAGGTGAGAAGTTGACAGATGAAGAGGTAGAGCAGTTGCTAATGGGGCAGGAAGACTCTCAGGGTAACATCAACTATGAAGAGTTTGTGCGTATGGTGATGTGTGGCTAGAGAAAATGGGGAGCTTCATAACTGACACCAACATGGAATTAAACAAACTTGGAAATTATCAATGTAAGGTTTGGTTCTCTAATTCAAGATTCTTTCAGTTTCAGTTCTGAAGTCCCAGATCAAAACTGAGTAAATTTCTGTTTTTGACAAAAATTATTTAACTTGTGAACAACAATTTATCTAAATTTGTGGTGGCTACCAACTCTGAACTGATTCATAAAATATAACATTATTAAAATAAAAGCTTGGAAGCAATGTTTAATATGCTCATTTTCATTTTGATAAACAGTTATATTGTTCATTAAAATAGCTTGAATAATTTGTAGAGTGTAGGTTTTGAATCCTAAATTTATTTCTGGATCCTGGTTAAGGAATGCCAGGCCTTCCTAACAATACATAGTTCTCTATTTTGTGTATAATATGACAATATGTGTAATAGAAAAAAGCCTAGACATCTATACTCCCTAAATTATTTTATAAAAATATCAGATCCAGTATGAATAATGCATGGAAAGAAGCTGGTATTAGATGGGATAGCAAAGTCATTAAAAAATGTAATTTGAAGCATTATGAAGATTCTTACAGAACCTTTGCAAGTGTGATTATTTATATAAGAAATCTCTTTTATTTATCCAGTGGTGCTTGAAGGTTGATCACTGTAGATTTAATAAAAAGATAATAAGATGATTTATGACTTGCATTGTTCAATGTGTCCAATTTTTTGTTTGTGAATGAAGTAATCGTCTAGCTGTATCCAAACTTACCTATATATTTTTCACGTGGGAGTTGCTATGAAATGCTAAGTTATGTGAAATAAAGTTGTGTGAGCATTTGTTTTTTCATATACAAATATGTATATACATATATTCCCTTAGTCAGTGCAACTAGAAGACTTTTGCACTATTACAGCAATATGTTTCAACACTATGATCATCAGGCACTAAAAATATGATATTCTTATAACTTATTAATAACATTGTTCTTTTTTTAAGGCACGTCTTCTTCCATTCTGAGTACATTAAAAGGTATTTTAATTGGCCTTTTATCCTCAAATCCGAAGATTATTTGCATGTGTTAGCAGTAAAAATGATCATCAAGCTGCTACTTGAATGGATGATTCATAGAAAATGCTTGTAGCCCCCCCCCTTTCCAGCCACTAAGTAAATATGCATACCATTCTTTCTCTTATCTTTATTAAAAATAACATTTTTGAGAAGATATGCATATATGAATTGCTTCCCAATTTCTTGACAGCTTTACAGTATTTTTTCTTCTTTCTAATACATGGCTCTGCATTTGAATTTTTATGCCCTTCTTGGTGTTCTTATTCAGTCCATTCTTTGTAACCCTTCACTTCTGGCATACAAGGAGTTCACAGACACAGCAGTTCTATTACTTTGTATGTGAAGTTGAAATTGCAGTTTTTGTTTTGTATTTTATGTTTTTATCTGTGCTTTAATGCTATATAGATTTATTAAAGTACTTGTACTGTGCTGTACAATACGGCATTTTCTTTGTTCTGCACTTATCATGACAATAATCAGTAGACTAAGCACTGAGATGTTTTATCTTTAGTAAGGTAACTAGTGCCACGGTGGTCTAGCTGTTTGATTCCTGGCGGTGCCCGAATTTATAACTTGTGTTAGGCAAGGCCGTGGTCTAGGCAACACGGAGTTTTCCTCCGGGGGCTTCCCCGGTTTCTCCGTGGCATCCCAACAATTACTCCATTCACACACAGAAGAAGGCAATGGCAAACCACTTCTGGATCATCGGTCACGGTAACTAGTGCAGTTTGTCCACATTAATCACAATTGTGAGATATTCAGATGTGTTGATGAACTTGAAACAGTACTTCCTTTTCTCGCAGACTGCTGTGAAGAGTCACATGTACTTTTCTCTTGCAACCAATACTAGATATATTTGAAGATGCTTTTCACAGGTTCTAAGCTGTTGATTGGTATATATTTTCAATGATATTCTTGACTTCTAAAGGATTTTTGCTTGCATATCTTGTTGCTATGTTGCCATATGCTACACAAAACTTTGTTTCAGTTTATATTTAACATGTCTGTGACCAGCTCAGGAAGGTTGCATGGTAGTTAAATTCAAAGTATTTTGTAAAAATGAAACTAAATGTGATAGTGGTGGTAGTGATTCGCTTTAAGTGATGTGAGAGGCAAAGAAAAAGAAAGGAATGAAATGGGGAAAATATTGACAATTGTCTTACAAAACAGGCTTTTTTAACATATACGGACACCAACACACTGCATGCGATGTAAGATATGGAATGCTTAAAATTATTTCTTAATTGGGACTTTATTTGTCTTCATTAAAGTAACACACAATGAATTGCTGTACCATATTCAGGATGCAGCCATTTTTCATAACCAATAAAGTGAGTGTTGTTCTTTTGTTGTTTTGTGGTGACTACAGGTGCGAAACCCACAGTATGATTATCTATCAAAATATGTTATGCAAAGACAGGTATTCACTGGAAATGAAATACAAAGTGTTATAAAGAAGGCAAGCTGAGCAGTCACCAACCATTTTTCTTTAGTTTATGTTGCCTTCCTTTTGTTCCTTCACTTTATTAATTTTTATCTCAAATTTGCACAGCTATTTTGCCTAATATATATTCAAATGCCATGTTTTTTGCGTCCCACTTCCCCAACACTATATGTAAAATGCTTAACGTAGTCTTGCTCTGCCTGAGGTCAAAGAGCAAGTGGTGGGATTTGTCTTACAGGACTTGTGAGTATTCACAAGTAGAATGCTTTATTTTTCCTGTAATGAATTATAAATAGAATATTTGTCAATCTTGAAGGTGTCAAGAGTATGAATATCGTCCTTTATGTTCTGATTGGGTGAGACTGTGGGACTTAGATTAAATTAAATTAAATCCTTGGCGTAACAGCTCCAGAGAGCCAAAGCCGACTGTGGGACTTGTGGTTGTTAACTAGTCCATTGCCCAAACCCCTAGATGTTACATGAATGAATATTGATCATGACTGGAATCATAATGACAAGGAAAAATTTAGGGACTCAGAGGAAACCAGCCCCAGTGACATTTTATCTTAAACACATCCCACATGGACTGTCTCTGCGGTGAGCAGCTGGCAATTAACTCTACAGCTGTCAATTTGTGTTTTGGTTATATCTCGAATGAGCTCAGTGTTTAAATTTCTCGTTATACTTATTTTGTGTACAGGCGGTAAAATTTGTAACCAACGGGAATTGTGCAACTACGTTAGCATGTGTGTTTTCTTACATGGTAATCATCTTTGCCAATGAAAACGCAGAACAAACCTTTGGATCTTAGCAACGGTTGACGTCATGTATTTTGTGCAACGAGAAATTATTTTTGAAAGCAGGCAGGAATAGTAGAAAATTTGTATAATTTTTATTGTGGCTTCAAGATTTTTATTGTGAGCGCCATATTTGTCAAAGGGCTTTGGATCAAAGGTAAGAGCAGAAAGGAGAATCTGATGTTGGACCTGTTGTAAGAGTACCAGTCTTTAGGAAGGCGTGTATTGAGAAATTGCGTTAGAAAGTTGTTCAGCGTTGCGATAGAAAGTTTTTGCAGAAAATTGTTGAGCTTTGCAAGAATTTACATGTGAGTTACATGCTTAGAAATATTATATCAGTTAATATTGCACATAGAGAGTAGTGTTTGTTGTTATATGTTTTATAAGTGGTAGTACATTTTGTCTTGAACTTGTAGAGAAACGTGGAAGAGTAGCGTCCTTTGTTGCAGATTTTCCCGCGTCTTTAATATGAGTGCCCATTTGTTTAAACATAACGGATAGTTTTGTTTAATATTTACATTAAACCATTTGTTTATGTATTAACGAACCCAATTTATTTTGAAACCCACAAAATTGTGAACTTCCCGTTCAAAATAGCACGTGTTAGGATCGACTGTTTGGTTCTTCGGTATTCCCGAAATATATATTTTTTTACATTTGTATCGTTCTTGTCTGTAAATAGTCAATCACAATTTAAAGAAGTTTGAGCCAGCACCGAAAGTATCTCCTGTCTTACTCCTATTCCATCGAAGAAATTACCTAAAGCAAAAATTTTCAGGTTTTATAAATACAGGTAAGCAGTAGTGGTTATGTGGTTGTAGTAATAATGTAGTTGACTAAATTACTGTCATAACTACGTAGTTTATATTTGTATTAGAAACAAGTATTGTATTTGTGCTATGATGTGTTTTCCATCCTTGGTTTGGGCCTAGGAAGGATCTGTGGAATGTAATAATAAATTCTATTCATTCAAGTTTTAATTTAGGTACACATTTTAAGTGGAAAACTGTGGCTTCAGTTTTATACCTCTTTGTCTAATATCTCAATCCTGGCAATTCACCCACATACTGTCATGGTAGGCCAAAATAACGTTACTGTTACTGAGAATTATATTAAAAGCAAAGAGAAAATTCCACAATATTCACCTAGTAGAACCAATAAGAAGCAAATGTAGCCTCCCTGCCCTACATCGGGATTACTTCCAACCGCATCAGCAGTCTGCTAGCCAGGCACAACATGTCTGTAGGTTTTCTGCCAAAGAAGATTCCCAGTTATCTTCCAAGAAGATTCCCAGTTGTCTTCAGCCGGTCAAGGATGATCTAGGACTGATGACGCCCAGTGTATACAGCGTTCCCTGCAAATGCAGCAAATTTTACATCAGGCAGACTGGCCGATGCATTGAGACTAGGGTCAGGGAGCACCAGTGCCACATCTAGCTGGGAAAGCCTGAGAAATCTGCTGTGGGTGAACACCGCTTCAACCTGGGCCACCGCATCCAGCTTGAGGATACTTCTATCCTCTCAACTAAAACCGGCTACATGGATCGGATAATCAGGGAAGCCATCGAGATTGAATTACATCCTGTTAACTTCAACAAGGAAGATGGACTACGTCTGAGCCGGTCATGGAAGCCCCTCATTCACTCGCTCAATTGGCTCATTCATCGCCCTGATGGCAGAGGCAGTATGACCTCTGAAACGTTGGTAAACATATACCATACTACATGGCATAACAACCCAGAAGACAGAAATCTTCAAATGTAGCTTAATCTGTAGGTATAGGAAGAGAATAAATGACAGAATTTTCATAAAGTTGAACTATAATAACAATCAAATCCATCTTATTACTTTGAAGCCAAAGTCTACCTAAATACTAAAGAGTTCAGTTTATACTGCAAAGATACATAAACATTTTCATTACAAAGGTCAACTGGTTTAAGAAGAAAATTACACAAAGTGCCACTGTAGCTTGGGAATTTGTCCTTTGTTGCTATTACAGGATAATACTGCAGAAATGCATATGACCTGAAATGTATGTTAAATTGATGCATGAATCAGTAATTGCTTGTTTGCTGATTTATTTTTTAATATTTTACTTGATAGCAAAAGAGAGCAGGATATGTTGGAGAAGATAGGGCTTATATAAAAGTAGAAACATCTTGAGCAAAAAAAGTCATTTTATCATTATTCCACTCATTATAGTAAAATATAAATTTTCCAATTGGAAGGAAGTATTTTAACAAACCAGTTTAAACCTATATAACATTCTGTAGTATAGCATCATGTATTTTGTGACTTTAGATTTTGGGTGTGAGTCACATCAAATGATTAATAGATGGCAACTGCAATGTTTTCTGGAATGTCGGTTAATACTCAACATTTGGCGCAGCCCACACTGAAATCTAAGTTCCACATTGAACTCCAGCTGCAAAAATCTAAGGATAAGAATCCGGTTATATTCACTAATCATGTTCATGTTCGGTTGCCATTGCTTTTGCATGGCAGGAAAGTTTTAGACTTGTCAAGGATTCTGTTCTGTGACTCCATGCTTAGGAGACTGGTGTATTACCACAGAGCTTATGTGCATTATGAAGTATTTATATTACTGAAAGCAGACATTAACATCATATGATTTGTTTCTTTGCAAACTAAAGTTGGCTAATAGGAAATATGATAACATAGTATTTTATTAATAATTCAAAGAATGTATGTATTCCAGTACTTATCATAGCTTTCCAGTTTTGTTTTTTATGCTTGTTGATTATTCTTCCAAGGATATTTTTGGTTGTATATGTTATGTTTTTTGTTTTGGAGCCTATGTTTGTTTTATCTTTAAATAATTATGGGGATGCTTTTATTTCTTGCCCAGAGGTTAATGAATTTAATCAATTTTTGTGTTTACTTTTTTCCTGGGGGTTTCAGTTTTTTATTTTACATTTTCGTTGTACTTTGTAATGTATATGTGTGTGTGTTACTGTATTGGTTATTATGTAGAATGGTTTCTACTTCAATTTTTCCTTCTTTGATATTTGATATGTTTGTAACTTGTTAGTTAATGCTTGTTGGTTGAGTCTAGAAAATGGAATTTATTGATAGAGCAATTTTCTAGTATTAATAATATAATATGGAAGGGTGTATGTTATTGAATTCTGTTAATATATTTTTTCATTGTGTTTTACTTTCATTCAGGATGATAATTATCTGCATGTAGAAAGTTATTGATGTTATGTGTGTGTATGGAAATTCTTTTGCCTCTATTGTTTGTGTGATTAATTTGACTGCATTGTTTGGAGGAGAATTCCTTCAGCTAACAGCAGGTCTTGTATGTGCATTTTATTTCTATAGTTTCTTTATTGTATTTAAATTTGGTGTAGTGTTTACTTCTGTCTTTGACCTTCGTAGCAACAATGGCAGATCAGCAAGCTACTGGAAAGGCACGAAGTCGTGCTCGGGGTAGAGCCCGGGGACAGCAAGAGGGTCAGACTGTGAGGCGCCCTGGAGAGCAAGCCCAGGCTCGCCCTCCCCCTGGCTTTCAACAACAGCCACAAGGTGGAAGACCTGCTCAGGCTGCTCCTCAAGCACAGCGACAACAGCAGGTGACTGCATGTTACCTGAATTTGTATGCAGTGAGATACTCTGAAAAAGACTTTGGGTATTGTACAAGGGCTACAGTTTAGTAGTGTGGACCAAGTTGTTTTGGAAATTACTATAAGTTGGATTAGTGCATCACATTGAAGTATAATAATCTGTAGTCAGCTGAGTAATGCTATTCGGTGTACCACAGATTGTCTTATATAATCTGAACAGCTTTTGTAATTACTTTATTTGTGTGTGTGTGTCTGTCTCACAAGATTATTTCTTTGAGTTCTCACCAAGTATTAAAATATTTACTAAGTGATGCTTACTTATTTTCAACTTCATACTGTAAGCTATGTGATGATAATTAAGAACCAGTTCTAGTTATTGGGTTACTTTTCTGAGCAACATTTTTTTGGATTTTCAAGTACTTGTGCACAGGTATTAATCCCAACCTTTCTCAGAAATGTAACGAGAATTTCATTTATGGTTATGTGAGAGTTTGCTTATTGGCTGATACATAGGAAAAAGTTAGTTATCATAAAAATTGAAATAAAAGGTTTCATTGTTGAAAGAATAGGTTTGTGGAACTGTGAATGTTATGTTTATCTCAGATTTAATCACTTTTCTCATTTTGTGTAATTGTAAAAGTGTTAACCCTGTTAAAATGATTTCTTTGTAGGTGAATATTAGGTTGGAAAGCTTGGTCTCATCTTCAGTTGATATCCTGAACTTGCAATTTTGTAGCTAGGTTTGTATGCCTATTGCATTTTTATAGGTGGGTCCAGCACTGAGCAGTGGCAGAGCACTACATCGTGTTAGTTCCCGTGGGGACTTACAGCCAGGAGATGACAGTCTGGCTGCAAGAATGGGTCAGATGTCAGTTGGTAAGAACAGGTTGATAATGATGGAGATAGAGAAAGGAATACAGGAAGTTATGTGTCTTGAAACTTTGTGATGAATTTTTTTTAGTAATTTTAAGATTGTATAGCCACAGATATGGTAGTGGGTTGATTATTATAACCAAATGAAATAAATAAGTTCATACAGAACATGTCAGGCCCCGGAATTTTGTGTTGTAATATATCTTTGAAAAATTGGAAAATATAAATCACTCTTTACCATTTTGCCATTTAGTTTCAATAATAGTATGCGGTGACCATATTATATCAGAATGGTGTATGATTATCTACAGTATAACCCAGAGGCCAGTTTCTCAACATTTTAATTAAGTATTCAGTTAATAAAGGGCACATTTATAGAATATATGGCTTCATGGTAATATTTATTAATCTGATTTGACACACAATTGTGTACGGTTGTAAATATGCTACAAAGTGAAGTTTGGGATGAAAAGTTTATCACTGACTGTAGGATATGCATTTTTATTGTTTTAATTAGAACGGGTTCTCAACCCATGGGCCACGTGTAGCTGTCATGTTTTTGTGCAGCCCATGCACATTTTTCCAAGACCTGCTGTGTTAACATGTGAAAAATAGTTTCCTCTGGTATCATGTAGGTGGAGGTGCTGGTGACCTTGCGAGTGGAAATGGGGCACCAGTGGGTCGTGGTGCCATGCGAGGACGTCGTCAAGTAAATGTTGATATTGTGCGTACTCGGCCAGTGAACTTGAACTCCAAGCAAGGTGGGTTTTTTTCAACTTGTGATACATTTTAATCATTGTACAGGGTTTGTATTCTTAGGATGCCATTAAAGCATGTATGTAGGGGACAGATGAATTGAAGTGTTAACTTGCCGTACAGTGAAGAAAATGTAATTTCATAAGTGCATACATTCTTCATTGTGTTCGCCTACCCCAAAATATTGAAGTCATTTCGAAGTAGGAATGATAGTTTCCCTGACACTGACAGTTAGTTGATGTAGAATTTTGCTGCTATCCTGTGCCTTCATGTAATGTATGTATGTATGTTTACCCCTCTTTGAATTGTGAATACCATTGTTAAATTGTGGCAGTGCAGTGAAGGAAGAGTTTGAGGACTTTGCAGTTGTCAGTAGCAATGTACTGCAGTTTAGAATGCTGAGTAGTACTGGTTAGTGACTTAATTCTCCTATTTTATGTTTTTAGTGTGTAATATGTAGCATACACACTCATTCTCTGTAGTTCACGGGGTATGTCTAATTTGTATATACAATTTCCAAAAGTCTGTCCATCATAGTCCTTTTATCTTAAATAATGTATTCTAGGGAAATTTGTTACTGAACAAATGTTTTTAGTCTTTTCATAGTTCAGGAAACCTTTCAGCATTGAACAAGTTATAAGATGTATGCATGCCCTAGCGATTGTGGTGAATTTGCTGTGTTGTTTTCTAGATTTTTAATTTTTGAGTACTACCTTGTATTTAATTCTTTCAACAACTGTAAAATGCAAAGAGGTTATTGGCCCTAAAATGTGTTTAATTTTTCTAAGCAAGCTTTAGGCTATGGTTACTTACTGGCATCTTACAGGTGATATATTTAATTAGCTCTGAACTGATTTAACATTTGATGGGATGTCGCACTGTGTAGTCTCGTAGAAATTTGTTTCAGAGGTGCTTACTGTCTCCATCCTCTGGGAAATGATTATAGAGGTAGTGAGCACCTCTGAAATGTGTAAATTTCTACTAGATTACACAGTGTAATGTCCTAGATGACAAGTCATTTTCATAATTTTTTCCTTGTTTGTCATTTCTGTTTTGCCATATGCTTCAAATAAAGAGTTGTTTTAATGAATGTGGTTTAATTATGGCAGCAACGTTTATTTTGAAATAGGTACATCGGGTCGTCAAGTGACTCTAAAGGCCAATTACTTCAGGTTGGAGACTCACACAAATTGGTGTTTGTACCAATATCGTGTGGATTTTGCACCTGAAGAGGACAGAACAGTGGTACGCAAAGGGTTATTACGCAACCACAAACCTGTCCTAGGTGGTTATATATTTGATGGCACCATGATGTTCACTAGTCATCGCCTTAATCCAGATGTAAGTAAGGCTTTGCGGCAGTTTTGGTCTAATTACTGTATCTGCAGTCCCTTCCCCTACATTAGTTAACCAAGTTCCCTTCCTCTTATTCTTTAATGATTTGTTAGTTCTTGCTCTTGTTTCTTGCCATATGAGCAGTGAGATATAAAAATACCCTGCAAAGAAAGTATCCATGTTCAGATGTGTTATGTCCATGTGAGAGGCAGATGCTTTTAGTATTGCTGTTTTATAAACTTCATCCATCATTCAGTATTCTAAAATGAGACCATTACATGTCAGGAGTTGGTTGTGGTATTGGGATTAACATCTTCTGTTGGGCCCAACAGAATAAATATTTTCACCTAAAGATGGCAACAGTGCCAGCTGCCAAATGATGGTGGTCTCATTTCTTAATACTGAACAGTGAATGAAATCCATAAAAACAGCAGTATTAAATGTAATGCACCATTGTTAGAACCCTTTATATGTGTGTGCGCGCATGTGCCTGTCTTTGGCAGAAGTTGTCAATCTTGGCTTCTGAACTGGGGAAATTACCCCAGTATAAACTTTTATGCATTGATAAATGTTAGATAAGTTGCATCTTAGTTTACATTCTCTCTGGTATTTGTACATGAATATTACATATGTTCTTATGCTGATCTTGAAATATAGAGCACTCTGTGCAGCGGGGTGGCCAACTGGTTGAGGGCTAGAGATAAATTGTATCGGGGAGGGGGGGATTAAAAAGTTGATTATCTGTGGGAATTAGGCTTACTCAATAGGAAATGTAGGTGTTACTAATAGCAAGGCATCTTGAAATGCATGCATTTTCAGAATAAAGCTTGTTATGTTTGTGTAAATAAGTAAGTCTTGCTATTATGCCCTCCATGAGGCAATGTCTGACTGGACATTTCAGTAATTTTGTCACGTATTCTTTTTCTGTTTGTTTGGAATACAGTGAAACCTCGATCCATCGTTTTTGGCGGGGGTGGGAAATAAAAACGATGAATGCGGGAAAACGATAGATGCGGGAAAGCATTAAAATTTTTAAAAAAACAATGTTTCTCTTTCAAAGTTACTTCTTTTTACCAAAAAAGTCTTTAATGGACAACTGGTTTGTCGAAACTTTACGTTTTAGGCCAAACAGAGCCCTTTCCACATTCAAAATGTTTTCCTCGTCACGTTCACTAATATTATGCTCATAAAAGAACGACTTCACTTTTGCCAATGCAGCGTGTGCTTCGGCAAAACTCGGCAAAGCTTCGGGCTCGCATTCGTCGTCTTCCTCTTCCTCACCGCTCCAACCCCCTTTGCGGACAATTAACAGGAAGAATGGAAATACTATTACTGCCGAACTTAACGAAACGTAGCTGTAGAAGACCCTGAACCACTGGAAACGAGATGAACCAGAAGAATGAAAAGTGTCGCCGGCCTTTCCTTTGTACTTATAATAAAAGCATTTGTGAAGAAATTCACACTGCACATGCCATCTGGCATCGCTGGAACGAAATATGAGTGCACCCTAATTAAAATCGTAAAATTTCTGACAATGAGCACCCGATCGATGCGATAAAACGATAGTTTGAGGAACGATAGAAGCGGGAAAATGTAACATTATTTTATATGGGATGTATTCGGGACCGAACAAAATGGACGATGCATCCGGGAAAACGATAGTTCCGGGAACGATGGATAGAGGTTTCACTGTATTACAAAGATTGTGTTGTTTTGAATAATTATCTTCCAACTCTTCAGTTATAAGGCATATTTTATCGTGAATGAATTACTAACTTGATTAAAAAGTATTTGTACTTTATAATGAGATTCCCTTTGCTTCAGCCAATGGAATTATTTTCTACACGGGAATCAGATAAAACACCAATTCGCATCACGGTGCGTCTTGTTGGAGATCTCACAGAGGGTGATTACCACTACATCCAGTTTTTCAACATTCTCATGCGGAAGGCTCTTGGTTATTTGCAGCTGCAGCTGGTAGGCCGCAACTTCTTTGATGCATTGGCAAAGGTATTTTATCTTTTTGTTATGTTTTGGAATATTGTATCATTGCGTCTCTGCATTATTAAGATGCGGTAGAATATGTTTAATGGAATAGGCCATTGTTTCATCACCACTGTCATTCGTACTTCATTTATGTGACATTAGAACCTGAATGTATCATGCTTTGCACTGTGGATTCAGATGGTTGTGCTTTATTTATTGGGAAATTATCTGAAATATGTTTAGATTTATTTAGAAGATTTTGCTGCTATGATGTAATACGCAAGTAAAATGGTTCAGAGTCCGCTGAGTAAGTGCATTACGTTGCTGGGTTCTCTAGTGTTTTCTTGGAATTTTTCTGTTGAAGGGTGACATTGAGAATAGAAGCAATTGTTACAGCTTACTCCCTAGTTGAGGTAGAGTTGAAATTGATCTACTGCCCTAATCTTTGTACATGCTCAACTTCCGAGGTGATGGAGATGCTCTGAAAGGTTGTAGCACGTGCAGAATTAAAAAGGAAAATTAGCTGTACCACAGTTTGTTTTTCATGGAGAGAAATATTGAAAGTGAATTCTACCAGTTAGTAATATATTTAACTGAGATACATTTAAATTAAAAGGAAGTGAAATTATTAGGGACATGGTTCTAACATGTAGCACCAACAGTGAATAGAAAGTGCATAGAAATGGAAGTGGTCATACACTGCCTATGCATAATTTCTGGAACATACAAAAGTAACAACATGCAACAAAGATGTGAGTAATGAGCCTATAATGGTGAAATTTACAAGACATAAAATCAGTATACAACAATAAATAAGAGATGATAAAGGAAAATTATAGTCATAGGAAAATATTGGTGACAGTTAAAAGATGGATCAGATTATTAATGAAAGTAAATTCCAGAAATTAGCTAAGGTCACACAGCCAAATTTTAACAAGAACGTATCTGAATAAATGTGAAAAGTTTTCAAAATGCTGACAAACAATGAAAGATTTTGTCAAACTGTGGTGATTTGCTCTAACTTCATAGTTTTACTGGAAGTCATTGATTCTTGTAGATTGTTGTGCCAAAATACAACTTGGAGCTTTGGCCTGGCTATCTGACTTCAATCCGTCAGCATGAGACTAACATACTGATGTGCTCTGAGATCACACACAAGGTAATGCGACAGGATACTGTACTGGAGTTGCTGACCGAGTGTGTGCAACGTGGAGAACGAAGGTACAAGGTAAGTGTGTCATGTTCTTCTAATGGTGACAGAGGTGGTAAGTTTTATAATGCACCTTGTGTTAATGTATTTGTGAGAGACATTTCCCATGAAAGAAGATATGAGGGAAGCGTTATTGCAAATTGTTGATTTGTTCACCTATGACAAAAAATTCTTAAAATTTTGCCAGTTCTTGCTAATACTGCATTTGCTCATTGAGAGTTGTAGATATGGACCACAACTATTTTAATATCTTATTTGTGCATGTTCATTATATGTATAAGATTCGGTGGTCTTCAGGAACAAGGAATTGCTGTTTAAATTTTGCTTTTATCATTTTTAGTTGCATTTGCATTGAAGTTGTAGAAATGTTGCTGTTTGTTAGCTTTGCCCTGTCTGTATGTAACAACTTGAACACTGGTTGGATTTTTATGGAATGAGATTGTTTTGTTAAATATGTTGACACATTACAGTTCTGGGTACAATTGCACAAGAACTACCGACACATGAAGTCTTGCATGTGTTTCTGTCGACATCTCAACTTACAATATTATCAGAGTGAAAAATGTTTAAATAAAACTTGTGGAGTAAAACTGAAACTTGTTCTACACACATTTTCCACAATTTGAGTTTCTGAGATAATTAAACAAAAGGGATTTCTTTTGCTGTGTTGTCTTATAACTCGGAATCTGTTACACTGATATAGTATTTGTAAGGGAGCTTTAAAAGTTGGCATTCCCATATTAAAATTTAGAGGCAATAACAATGAATGCGCGAGAATTCTTACATTGTATTTTTATCTCATAAGGTGCTTCCTCCATTTTTGTTATTTCAGCAGCCTCTGAAAATTACAAAGCAAAATAATATTTGGTTTTGTGTTTTTGCATAAGACAGAGTGAATGAATGTCCCAAATTTTTAATTCTTGGCACATTACCAGTATTGTGTTAATTATCATTGTGTTTTATACAGTATTCTTAATTAAATTGTAAGCATTTTCCCAAATTATATTGTTGCATCAAAGTTTGTTGTTCTGAATGTAACTTTCAATGGTTTAGTATACTAGTGCATGTTATTGACTCAGCCTGTTTCAGCCTCAGGAAATTTTTTATTTCTTTTCCTTACAATAATTACTTGGACAGACTGTTTTCGTAATGGTGGCATTCATTGTCTCTAACCTGCTCTTTTTCTTTCTTTCCTGGCTTCAAAATTTCTTCCTCTTCTTGTCTTATTTTCTACAGCACACAACTTAAGATTTTTTGAAGAATCCATACTGATCACATGTACTTTACAGACAAAGATAACCTGTCTGTAACTACAGGGTGGCACACGGAATGTCATGCCATTTAATTATCACATTAAAACTATAATATTGTAGTATCGATGTTCCAACTGTGCGAGTGAATGCTGTAGTTCGTGGAAATTCGATAGATGGCATCACAAGTCGGAATTGGCCGTAGCTGTAAGCGCACACCAGTCTGTGAAATGGCGGACAATGGGCGGTTGACTGTTGAGCAAAAGGTGAATGTTGTATTGTTTTTCGCGGAAACAAAGAGTGTGGTAGAGACTCAGAGACGTTTTCATGCTCACTTTGGTAAAAGGTGGGCTCCTTGCAAACAGACAACTTACAGGCTTTTCCAACAATATGAAATTAATGGTTCTGTGTTGGAGGAAAAGTGGCAGCGCCCCGCTAGTGTCCGTACGCCTGAAAACATTGAAGCGGTGCGCGTGGCTTTGACTCGAAGTCCTGGCAAATCAACAAGGAGGGCTTCTGCTGAGTAGGGAATCTCTCGTCGGTCACTTCAAAGAATTCTGCATTCAGATCTTCACTTGTTCCCATACAAAATGACCGTAATGCATAAACTTACGGCGAGAGATAAGGAGCAGAGGCTAGAGTTTGCATTGTGGGCAGTGGAGGAAGAGGCCGTACTTCACAACACATGGTTTACGTTCGATTCTGGGCGAGGGAAGATCCTCACATACTGCACGAAAAAGAAAGTTATGCGGAAATGTATGGGCCGCAATTTTGAGTCACAGAATCACTGGTCCATTTTTCTTCGATGAAACCGTTAACAAAGATCGATACAAAGACATGTTGGAAAACAGTTTTATCACCCATCTCTTGGCAACAGGTCTCCCTATGCAAACACAGTGGTTCATGCAGGGTGGAGCCTGTCCACACACTGCGAACGTAGTTCTTGATTTCCTGCATGAGACGTTTAATCTTCGTGTGATGTCGCATCGGTTTCCTGAACGTCACGAGGGCGGCAAAATGTGGCCGCCTCATAGCCCGGACATTAATCTGTGTGATTTCTTCTTGTGGGGTTTCTTCAAAGAGAAAGTGTACCAAAGGAGACCAGAAAATGTAGTGCAGCTCAGAGCCCGCATAGTGCAGTTGTGCCGTGCGCTATCTGAAGGCTTGTGTTGAAAAGTGGTGACGAACACAAGGTTTCGTTTGCAAGAGGTTGTGAGGCAAAACGGCGGTCATATTGAACACGTTATTCATTAGGAACAATTTTCCAGGCTATAGTGATTAATTCTATACCGGTTTTGTTCTACTTTTATAAAAATAAAAATGTGTTATATGTATGACATTTCGTACAACACCCTGTAGGTCTTACATGTAGAGTGTATGAAGTATTTAATGGTGCAATAAACTCGTGGGTTGTTACAGAAAATCAAAGTACCAAATTTTGTACCCTAAAATAATGTGATCTGTTTGTGTGTAAATGTAGTGTTCTCTTCTGCTTACAGGAATTGTTCAAACAAGCAATCATTGGGGCTGTTGTTCTGACTGACTATAATAATCGGACATACCGTGTGGATGATGTGGATTTTGATGTTACTCCAAGTAGCACATTTGAACTTCGCAGAGGAGAACAGGTCTCGTACATAGATTATTACCTAAGGGTGAGTATATTTTGGGTTTGCATGGTTTTTTAAATCAAATTTTGGTTTCATGAGACTTGGTTGTTGTTGGGTTTTTTTTAATAATAATAATAATCTTCAGAATAGAGGCTACTGGTCCCAAGTATTTAATGACATTGGTTGGTTCAGTACACCATAGTTGTGTTGAATATTTTCCATTGCCTGGTATTTGTGATGTACATGAAGTTTGTTGCTTTATCTACTGAATTATTCACCATCTTTATATTTCTATACATTCTAATACACTTTTGAAAGAGATTAATCCGAAAAGTTTTTGATTTTCTACTAGCTAGGAGCAGCATCTTATGAGCCTTCGGAAAAGTGACTTGACAATCACATTCTGCACCTCCAGTCTGCAGTAAAATGCAGCTTTGTTGCATTTTGTATTGATGTGGGTCACTCCCAACATTGTCCCCCCTTCCACATTTTCTTTTCTCTTTTGGTGGAACTGGTACATATTTGTCTGTTCGCAGACATGCTGTATCATTCAAGAAGATTAAAGGGACCATTGTAGTAGTTTCAGTTATAGTAAATTTTTTGTTTCAGAAGTTTCTCTGTGATGTGAACATTAAATATGAGTTTCCCATTGCACTTGTAAAGTTATGATAATTGGGAATGTGATAATTGTGGTTCATCTGAAAGCAAAGCGTGTTGTCAATTCAAATTAATGAGCTTTAACATATGGAAATAGGAGATTTAAATCCCCATAAAATGGGTCTGGTGACTGAACATTTTGGTTTAGCAGTATGCTGGTGTGAACATGGCCAGGTGGCAGTACGTAAGCCACCCAAGTTTGAGAAATCTTTCAGAGAATATGTGTAGAAATGCGTAAGATAAATATTGATGTTCTGTACTTCTCCATATTGTGTATAGACATCAGTCATTTGCTGTCTTGACGTTATGCACAGAAAATCTTACTGTAACACCAGTAAATTAAAATCTCAGAATAAAAATTTTGTTCATTCCCAGACAAAGTACCATACACTATTTTGTAATGATATTGCTACAATAAAATTTCAATATAACACTGTAACACACTGTTCTTGTTGATTATATATATTAAAGTTTTACAGTAACTACTGCAAGTAAAATCCAATTTGTTCTGATAGAATGTGGGTGCATTACTTTGCTTATTGTGATAATGAATATTACAGAAATACCAGAGGAAGATATACAGTGTGGACCAGCCGCTGCTGGTCACACGTACAAAGGCCAGAGAACAGCGGGCTGGACAAGATGAATTTGTTTACCTTGTGCCAGAGCTATGCCGAATGACTGGCTTGACTGATGAGATGAGAGGTAATTTCAATGTGATGAGGGATCTTGCTGAACATACACGCGTTGGTCCTCAGGGTAGGATGGATAGACTTAACGCTTTCAACAGACGTCTCCTGAAAGAGCAAAATGTAAGTCACTATGTACTATTGCAGTTGAAAAATGATGCTGGCCTGCTACATTTAATTGTTTCCTAGTTTGATTTAAATGGCTGTTCCATATGACCATCATTTCTTGTTTGTTACATACTTTCACAATAAGATGACATGGAGCATATTTTTCTTAAAGCTGTTGGATTTTGTCATTTTTATGTAAAAAAGTCGCATGTCCCAGAAGCGTGCTTATTTACACCCTGAAAGAAGAGAAGACAGTTTTGTCCAAGAACAAGGTTTCCTGTTTGTTGATCTTACTTTCCTTCCTGCCCCTTAAAAGTGCCAATGTATCTTTTTGTCTCCTGACCCACCCTTCCCCTCCAGTATACTGAAATGGGATTTTTCCTGTTGATCCAGGCATGGATCCATCTCCCCTCCTCATCCTATGGCTGTGGTTATTCCCCATGGCTTGCTTCTCTCATTAACTTCTAACTTTCCTCACTTTGACCCTGGATATTTATGCAACTTTGAAATGCTGGTGCATCCAGAAGACTACATGGAACAACTACCCAGAAGATGACCGTGAATAGACTGATGTTGCATGCTTTTCTTTTGTCTGTAGATGATAAGACACATAAATGGTACTGAAGTGAAACAAAAAGGATGCTTTCAGGAAAGAAAAACCACAAGATAAGAATGAGAGTTATACTTTTTTTTGTAGAATTTGAGGAATTCACACAATTTAAAGTGAAGTGGCAATTTGTAACTTGACAAACATGCATAAAATTATAACTTTGTGAAAATGGTTTGTTACGTGCATGTCAGTGAATGTAGCGGTTATATAAATTACCATTACATCCCATTTTTCTATATTTTTTAACAAAAGTGAGGCCTTCATAGCAGTTGTTTACAAATTGGTGGGTGTATGTGTGGATGCAAATAAAACAAAGTGACAAGTTTTCATTAATTATTGATATTTCTGTGTGGTAATGGGGCAGAACCTTCCTTTACTTTATTTGGTGGCTTTTGCAAGATAAGCTCTATATTATCTTACAGACTGATGTTTGTTTCAGGTGCGTACAGATCTACTTGAATGGAACATGAGGCTGGCTGACAAACTGATTGAATTCCAAGGTCGTGTTCTTCCACAGGAGAAGATACTGCAAGGAGGTCATCAAGGTCAAGAAGTAAAGTATGATGCTGGACCACTTACAGACTGGACGAAGGAGTTGCGTAGTAAGCTGTCTCATTTTTTTTGTTATAAATTGTGTCACAGGAAATATGGTTGGCATTTCTTATTATGGTACCTGATAAGGGTAAAAATAAACTCAGCTTGCTGTCTTCTGGAGTGTTGTGCCATGCAGTTTGGTAGTAGTTTACCAACATTTCAGAGGTCCTTGCTGCATCCATCATCAGATCACCCTGCTGATGGAGGCAGAGGATAAGTGAAACACTGGTAAACTTTCTAGACTATGAGAACCTGAGATCATAAAAAAAACTACACCACAATGTTGGAAGCTCTTTTGGTTTTAACGACTGAATGAAAGCTTGTATATCAACTTGCAAATTTTCTTCTCCTTCATAGAACTTTGTCTTTACCTTAAAACCAGCAGCAGCATAAATTTCTTTATCACTGTGTGTTTTTAAAATATTTTGCTCATGTGTGAATTAATAATACTGTTTTATTCTCAGGTAACCCAATGTTGGTCATACCTGCACTGAACAATTGGGTTGTGATCTGCCCAAACAGATTGAGAAGAGATGCTCAGAATTTTGTATCCACGTTGGTTCGTGCTGCTCAGGGCATGAGATTTGTCATTCCACAACCATATTTGTGAGTTACCCTTACTCCAGCTTTTCAAATACACTGGAAATTTGAAATATATGTTTTTGTGTATTATAACTTAGTGCTTTTTCTCCAAAAATTGGGAGTGATCGCGTGGTTCACCAAAAGAGTTACCGTATTGACTGGTATAACACACCCTTATTTTTGCAATGGAAAATTTAAAAATAAAGTGTGTGTGTTATATGCTTTGAAGTAAATAAAATGCAGGTAGTGGGGAAAAAAATTAAAAATATATAACAAATACCAAATATTGCAGTTTCTGTCTAAAGCACTCTGGCAAAAATATCAAGATACTATTTTATCTCCATACATTTTCATTTATTCCTACAACTTAAACAGGCACATAAAGTCATTCTTTATGTTGATGGTAATGCCATTAATCCTTTGAAACCAAATTTTATATAATAATATTTCCTGCCTCAAAGAAAAAACACTGCATAACCATTACAAATGTTTATTGGTTAACTTTGTTTACAGAAATAGATGCTGTTTAATCTGAAAATCATGTGAAACACACAATGGGCAAAATGTGGAGTTATTTAATATTATTGCAGATAGTATATATAGTTATGACTGGGCTTTACATCAGGTGTTATAGCACATCTGCACAGTATTACAAAAAATACCTTTGATGGCTGTTTCATTGTCATACACAAATGCTTACAATGATTTGTTGGTGCAGTAGGAGAATATTTTACATGTGACTCAACAGTATTCTGGAAGTGTATTCTGTTCTTTTGTCAGTCCCAGGAAACTGTAAATAAAGTTTTCAGCATGTTTCACATTCACGGAGAATCTGTATTTTCAATGTTTTCTAAAATAATTATAATGTGTTTTCTTTTAGCTGTGATATTCCAGATGATCGTGCATCATCATTTGTCCAAGCATTGGAGCAGGTCATTTCAAGCAGAGACCCGCAAATGATAATGTGTATTGTTACAAACAATCGCTTGGACCGTTACGCAGCAATAAAGAAAAAGTGTTGCGTAGACAGAGCAGGTGAGTTCTGTGCTCTTTTGCTACAGGCATGTTTGTGGAGGTTGTGTTCACGCTCAGCAAGATTTCATTTGGGAGCTGATTTTCTAGGCTGCATTTTGATGTGAGCAGAACAACTGAAAATCTCATAAAACAGTAATCTCCATCAAACCATATGTGGCTGCATGTTGTATATATTCCTGATCATGTGACTGGCTGTGGCTGTGAGATATCACAAATGACTGAGTGTTGGAAGTAATTTTGTGAGTAGAATAGCTGCATGTAGACCAGAACTTACATAATCATTTATTTCTTCTTCAGTGCCAACTCAAGTTATTGTGGCAAGGAGCTTAACTGCAAAGAGCGTAATGTCTATCGCTACAAAAGTGGCGATCCAAATGTCCTGCAAAATTGGGGGGGCTCCTTGGACGGTAGAAATACCACTCAGTGTAAGTAAACAGTGATACCATTCATCTACCTTATGTATCCTGATTATTTTCCTAAATAATGAGTTAGCTTGGTCATTTGCATTTCATAGGGACCTGCCTTGTTCCAGTTAAATGTTTTCATTCAAAGGATATTTTCTGCTGTGGAGATTATAATTGAGCCTGTGGTACCCAACAAAAAAATCCATAACATATTACAAAATGTAGAACTTACGGAATAATAATCAGTATCAGTGATACTGGAGGGGAGATCTGCCATGGTCAGTGCAAAACAGCAGATGATATGCTATTCCATTCATGTCTACTTCTATGAAGTAAATTATTTAAACAGTGCAACTTCAGTATAATGAAAACCTCTATCCATCGTTCCCTGAACTATCATTTTCCCGGATGCATTATCTGTTTTGTTCGTTCCCTGATACGTCCCATATAAAATAATGTTACATTTTCTCGCTTCTATCGTTCCTCAAACTGTCATTTTGTCGCATCAATCATTCAAAAATCTTTGTCCTGTCCCACAATTTTCCCGCAATGATCGTTTCTGAGAAATTATAACAAAATTTACGCAATGTTTTTAGAATTTAAATTGATCATTTTAGAGATAAATTAATATCGAAAGATGCACAGCAAGCTTGCCACATACACGGCCGACACCATCGATGAGTCGTATGACGATCGCGAAAGGGTGGGAACGGTGAGGAGGGGAAGATGACAAATACAAGCCCGAAGCTGTGCCGAGTTTTGCTGAAGCACATGCCTCATTGGTGAAAAAGTGAATTCGTTCTTTTATGCGCACAATATTTTTGAAGGTGATGAGGAAAACGTTTTGAACATGGAAAGGGCTCTGTTTCGCCTAAAATGTAAAGTTTTCCATTAAAGACTTTTTTGGCAAAAAGAAGTAACTTTGAAGTGGATTTTAATTGTATTATTTTGTGTATGCAAGAGAGAAAAATGTACAATTTTCATTTTTTCTCATTTTTAATGCTTTCCCGCAACTGTCGTTTTCCTGTATTCATCATTGTTATTTCTCTCTCCCGTCAAAAATGATGCATTGAGGTTTCTAAAGTCCACCCCTTAACTTCTAATCAGGCACCATTTTTTTAAAAAAAGGACAGTTTTTATTTATTTTTTAAAGTGAATGTTGAGATAATGAAAGTAATTGAGAAGTAAGCATTCTTGGTGTCTAGTGTTATCTGAAGTCGGAGACTTTCTCACACATACATAACCTTTTATCCTTGCAACCAATTTCAGGTTCCATCCACATTCCAACCATAAGTTGCCATGTCCATATGTGTGTGAGAATAAACGTTGAATTGTATGGATCTTGCTTGAGATATGTAATGCATAGAGAAGTTAAAACTCTTCCATCTGTTTTGTAAAATTAAAGTTGAACATTCTTGAACTGTTTCAATATATTGAACATTATTATAACAAATATCAGATTAATGAAAACATTTGTACCCTTACAGAAAAGTATTTTGCAAAAACAAATATTGGCATGACAGAAATTCAGTTTAACATAATAAAATCCTGTACCAAGTTGAAAAATATTAGTTCAGTTTAAAGAAATTGTTAAAGTTTCATGTAGAACATATTAACCCTTCCCAAGCAAACTGTACTGGCAGTACAAATGATTTGATGTTTCAGAATTCTGAAATACACTGTTTCCTTCAATTAGTTTCTTTAATGTGCACTACTGTAGATGTCACATGCATACAAATCTACATGTACTGTAGTCCAGACATGAGTTTTGTGAACTGTAGGATAAAAATATTGTGTTGACAGTCTGTTCTAGAAACAAAAAAGCATTATAAAAAAACTTCTATCTTCTATAATTTCTCTAGTACATAGCGTGACTTGAATAAAGCTGTGATTGATGGTAGTATTGTATCCATTTGGGATTCTGTGGATGAAATATTTCAAAAGTAAAATCTGGTGACTTTGGTAAAGAATCCGATGAATGAATCTTTGATAAAGAATTTCTCAGTAGGTGGCATGATATAAAATAGCAAATGAAAAGATGGCTTGTGGACGTCTTCAAAATGGCACAATTTACGTAACAAGTGTCATTCAAATACTTCGTGTATGTGCGCTTGTGTTTACAATTTGTAATTAGTTTTCACTGATTAACCTTCATCATATAGAAAAAGAAAATTCAAATCCCTGTACTACGGGGCTGCCAGCCAGACTTGTGAATTAATGATATGCTGCTGTGACATAGTTAGCAATATTGTGTATAAGCCATAATTCTTGGCTATTATAGATTACCAGTGGTAATAGCATACAATGGATGTCTTGAAATAAAGAGTCTTATCTCTAATAGGAGTTAGAAAATTACCAAAGAAAGTGAACAAATATATTCCCCTGATTTACTGGATAAGTCATGTTCTCAAATTTAGGTGGTGCTTCATGGGAAGAGGTGCTAGAAAAAAAGCCCAAGTGTCAGTCTTACATGCAGCACCACTTGGTGTTGCCAAGTGTGTAGCATTAAGAAACCGGAGGTTGTATAATGTGGAGAATTCTTTGTATGATTGTTTCTGATGTCTGCTTCAGGGCTTGATGGTGGTTGGGTTTGATGTTTGTCATGACACCACCACTAAAGAAAAGTCATATGGAGCGTTGGTGGCGTCCCTGGACAAACCGTTCAGCCGGTATTTTTCAGCTGTGTCGGCGCACACAACTGGTGAAGAGTTAAGCAATTACTTAACTTCAAATATAGCCAGTGAGTTGCATGTTTGCTCGTTGTTGTTGTTGTTGTTTTTTGTTGTTGTTGTTACCATTCTGAAGGAAAATTCCAAATGTTTCTTTCTTCCACTTGTCACTGTTTTGAGAATGATACTAGCATGTCATATATGTAAAACTTGACAAAAGTAAAGAAAAGGTGAAATGAAGTTCTAACTACTGTAATATGTTTAGCCAAGTCACTTCATTATTTCTGTTTCGTTATGAAACATGTTTGCTTCGTGTCATGTGTTAGGGGGTTTGTTAAGTTTATACCAAACTTTTAAAGAATGGATAAAGTTTGTCATTTTCTGCATACTTTCAAGTTTACTGAGAGTATAGTTTCTTCTTCATAACTTTGCCTAATTCCCATCTTTATATAATGAAGTCCTAATTTTGGGGAGATTTTTTTTGCAACACTGACCGAAGCTCCTAAAACATGTTCTTTTCTTCTCATTATAATGTCTATGTGAAATGTGTTATTGATTGTATTGCAACCAGAATTGGAATGTGTTGGCGAATTTTAGTAAAACTCCAATATCAGATTTCATGAAAATCTGATAAACAGCTTTTGAGTTGTTACATACAGATTGATGTCAGTGGGCTGGTCACTCACTACTTCACGCACAACCAAGACCAAGAAACCTTCGAAAAGGAGGCGGCGAAAACCCACAACAGGGTTATAGTGCTGAGAAACAAACAAACATACAGATTGATAGACAGACGTGACAGACCTAATATGTGCATCTGTGAAATATTGTTGCAAATGCACCTAAAAATAAGAAATTAGATTGAGGTTCCACCACATACAGAAAATTTTATCATTTTTATTTGACACAATGTAAATGTGTGCAGTTAATAAAATAGAGTATTGTTAAATATACAATAATGAACTGGCAGTATTCTCAACTCTTGCATAAAGAGAATGTTATTTAAAAAATCTTTAATCTGTTTCCTATAATACACTGTACTTGGTTGTTTTGTAATAACTGTCAAGCTGTGTTCCTATTTTGAAGCATTTAAGATTCAGTGGATGGTTGAGATATTACTTTCAGATTGACTTCCAAATATTCTTAAACTAATGAAGAAGTGTCTGTTGTTTTCCAGAGGCTCTTCACAAGTACAAGGAATATAATGGAGGTGCTCTTCCACAGAGAATAGTTATATACAGAGATGGGGTAGGTGAGGGCCAAATCCCTTATGTGTACAAGCATGAGGTTGAACTCTTGAAGGAGCGCCTGAACATCATGTATGGTAGCCAGCCAGTCAGGATGGCATTTATTGTTGTAACAAAGAGGATTAACACCAGGTTGTTCCTCGGCAATGGAAACCCTCCCCCTGGCACTGTTGCCGATGACTGCATAACTATGCCAGAAAGTTAAGTATCTCATGTGAGAAGAATGTCACATTGCAGGTAAAGGTTAACCTAAGGAGGAATATGTCTCTTTAAGTCTTTGATGTGCTGAAAGCAGCTTTATAACTATGAGATTTCAGGTTCTCACAGTAGTAAAGATATGTATGGTAGTCTTCTGAATTATGATGATGTGAAGACTTGTAGGTGGGTAACAATATTTCATAGGAACATACTGCTTCCATATTAAGGGACAAGGCTCATATATTTTATGTCTTTGCTATTGGCTAGTAATAATAGTGGAAGGCATTAACATCATCCTAAGAGCTATTCAGCATAGGTAGGAGCATTCAGAGTGCTGAAGTGCAAAATGTGCCTGTGGAAACACTGTGTACTGCAGTTCTTTCCCAATCTTGGTTCTGTAATAAACTTGGCATAAAGGAGAATGTGCGAATGCAAGATAAATTTTGTCCGTTTTCTTTGGCAGAATCAAAACACTGCTTTCTTACTTCAAACATGGCTATGAGATGTTAACATAATATTCCAGAATTTTTATAGATATAATCCAGCTTATATACAAATTGCGGGCAATACAATCCTCCCATTCCTACTGGCCCTATAGCTAGAGAATTTTTGATCATAGAATCACAATCTCTTCTCTGATCATGAAAGTTTCACACTGCTTGTTTTGTAATGATTTGCAAAATTTGTGGAAGTTTAGAATATGGCTAAGAAAAATTAGAAAATCACATGTGTCATGATTTCTTTTTTCTTTCATGCAGATATGATTTCTTCCTGGTGTCTCAGTCGGTACGACAGGGCACTGTGAGCCCAACTTCATACAATGTGATTAGTGATAATGTGGGGCTGGATCCAGATAAGCTTCAGCGGCTTACCTACAAACTTACTCATCTTTACTTCAATTGGAGTGTAAGTATTGCATTAAATCTGGCAGTGCTAGAATTAATATTAAACCTAAAAAATTTAGCATTTTGTTAAAATAGCCCTAACTCACAGGAAAATGATTTTCCCCCTCCCTCCAGATTTCACATCATAGAGGATACTAGAGAATCAAATGACTCATTCCATCTTTATTTAGCATTTTACAGCTTGAAATATTCATCAAGGCAGAGTAGAGCATCACAGAGGTGGCAGTAATGTGTGTTTTTTCTTTCTGTCTTTGTACATACCACACTGGCTTATCCTCTGGGGTCTTGCCTTCTTTCCTAATTTTACTCAGAGAATGTTTTTCCCTTGGTTGAATATGTGCATTGTCAAATAAATGATGGCCTGATATTTTGCATTTAACATGAACAGACTGCAGGAAGAATCACTCTATCAGCAGAACTCTTAAGAACCAGATCTTTGGTTTTCAAGTGTTACATATAATCAATGAATTGATGGTGGAAGCAATCACAAGAAATTCATGCACATTTATTTTTTATTTGGCATTTTGTAGCTATGCAAATGCCTTGTTTTGGAATGAAAGTACCACTGTTCTACAGCCTTTGCATGGTCAGATTGCATTACTGGTGGTCCATTCATGTTACAGCACTCTTAGAATGTTGTTCTGATGCCTCATTTATATTAACCTGTTCAGTTGTCCTTGTAGCAGATATTATTTCTTCTTTATAATGTAGTTGTAAAGAAATTTGTTAGATGCATTTGCTTTGAATTTTCTTGGCTCCCAGCTGTTGCCATATCTTCTAACCGATTTTAAAACAGCAACAAAAGTTAGTATTTTGAATACTGTTTTAGGCATTTGCATATAAACCATACAAGACCTTGCATACCACACGTTGTTGTATGTTGAGTCTGTTGTGTGCACATTGCTGCATAAAATGGGCGTGGTTTGGTCTGCACCTTCTAATAAGCACACAAGCCAACTTCTTACCATATAGCAGCATTGTAAACAAAATATTTACTGACCATTCAGTCTAATATATACACAATTAAATGACCATTAAACAAAGATTTAATATTCAGATTGTCTGCTGCCCTGTATCAGCTGTTGTGTGGTGAAATTATTTTTGAACTGGGATTTTCAAAAATGCAAAAGCAGATATAATCTAGAAAAAACTACTCTTGGAAATACTAGGCATCATGGCAGCGCCAAAGATTTGCTGGGCTTACACAGGCATTTTCTTTCCTATTGTGACAGTTTGTCCAAAATGCTGGTG